GTTGCCCTTCCGCTGCGTTTGCAGGAAAATTGTATGAAACGCTGATGAGAAGGCTATGACTCTTCCTGGGCAAACTTTTGTGCTCCTCTCTTGGAGAAACTATTGCAGAAATATGAAACAGAGTTCTGCAGAATCCTTCACTTTCTCGTTGAGTCGAAAGGATGTGGTGAGCGGTCGTAGTTTTGTCTTCATCCTGATATTCTGTCCAGTGAACAGTCTTCCTGGTCCTTCGAGAACGACTCAACTGTCTCTTTTTTTCACAGTTTTCTACAGGAACCCTAGCGTAATTTAGGTTAGTAGGCGCTTGGATTTAATGGTGGGCCAAATATAAGCCGTATGAGAGCGGAGAATTCCCATTCCCGGAGGTCACATTGTCAACTTTGAAAGTCATTCTTTCATTTGTCAGTGCAGGGTATCGCTATGGGTGAAAATTTCGGTACGACCAGTCAAATTTCCTCCTCGGTTTGACCGCAAGTTTTCTGAGGATGTTTATTGAGTCGTCGTAGAAGGATCTGTTCCAAAGCTACTGGGAGAACAAGACCCAACCGGGCTATGAAAGACCCGTTTCTAGCCGAAACAGGCTGATACCAGATTGTAAGTTACCGGTCAACAGATGGAGCTCTTTTTATGATCACTTACGGGCTTGATTTAGTGGCCATTTACGGTAGACGTGTTCTATCTAAGTACGAGTGAGAAAACTGGCTCCACTTTTTGTAAAGGAAGTCTAAAATTGCGTGACCCCTCTCCAAAGGAATAATGTTGTATTGGAATTGGAATTGTATTGGAATTTGATGAGCTAAGTACATAATGGATGGAATCTTCAGTTGGTCTTACGTTCCAACTTTTCTTCATAACTTGGAGACCTGAAGATAGCTGAAACTTCTCAATTGTAAAGGCACTCATAGTCAGCTGCATAGTCTTCCAGGTCATGGAGCGCTTCTTCGGAAATATCGTTGCACGTATTAGGATAAATGGATGGACTACAAGAGAAGAGTTACTTTTCTCCTACTCTTCCTTAGAGAATCCCATGCTGTTGTAGAAAACAAACAAACAATTGTGCGAAATCAGAAAGAACTCGGTGAAAGTTCAAGAACTCCCGCTTGTCACCGAAGATTTTAGCTGACTCTTTTATGCTTGCCTTACTCATGAAAACCCTTCAACTACACTACATCTACGAAAAAGGTTTTGATAAGTGTTCTCTGGGATTTTCATGGAATCACTAGGAACTTTTGTCTATTGGCTGAATCGTCAATGAGAATTCCTACTGCCCTCAAAGAGATCAAGTCGCCGAACAACTTCTGGAAATGAGAAAAGTTTTCTCTTCCCACCGATAATGCTAGACCTGTATATCGCAAAACAGGCTCTCCAGAATCTACGTGAATCTACGTGCTGGTCAGTTCTACCCCACCTAGCGCAATGACCGTAAATTGCCCTGACGGACAACTATTTGCCTTCAGCCCTAAACGTGATCTGTGGAATAAATGTTACGATGATGAAACAAACCTCAGCAATGATGTGTGAGAGTTCTTTGTCTCTTTCTCGCCAGCATTCTATTCTCGAGGATTTCATGTAGAAAAGAAACTTTTCGCTCGCGTAGTGTGTCATCAAGGTTTATCTCATAAAGTTGGCAACATGAAAGGCCCACTATAAAGTGTTCCTCTACAATCTGGAGCGAGCACTCCACCTCAGCCCCAAACGTCATGACAATCAGGGTACAGACTCGTTGTATGAGACACATGGGAGGAGTCGTAGCTTTCCGCTGGGGAGGGGGGGGGTCATATTTGGTCGTTGAGACAGGGGAGGTC